GGACCTGGGCTAGGACTCCCTTGATTTTTCTTGATGGCAGTTTTCTTGATGGTAGATTTTTCTTGATAGCTAATTTCAGTTTTCAAATTAATTAATTTTTAAAATCCTATATTTAAATATGTATGTAGTTCAGTGGCATTAAGTAAATTCACGTTGTGAAACCATTACCCCATCCATTCTCAGAACTTTGTTCATCTTGCAAAGCTTACTAAACAATAATTTCCTTTTCTTCCCTGCCCCGACCCCTGGCAAACAACAGTCTAATTTCTAACTCTATTCTTATACCTCATACAAGTAAAATCATGCATTTATTTTTATTTCACTTACCATAATGTTGTAAAGGTCCATCTAGTTGTAGCATGTTATCAGTATTTCTTTTTTTAAAAAGAATATTACATTGTATGTGTGTATCATATTAATAATAGTTCTTTTGTTTTATGGTTTTTGTACTTTCTATTGTGGTTCAGCAATTGTATATTAGTAAATGGGTATAAATATCATAAGAGTCCCTAGTGATATGGTAAGAGCTAGTAGAAGACTCAGATTTTATTCATGGCGTTTGTGTTGATTTTCTGTGTGATCTTGAATACATAGATTATCTGTTGATCTTTCTGTAAAATGTAAGTGCCACCCACTTCTTATAGAATTTGTCCTTGCTCAGATTTTCTAACTTCCAGCTGAGGCTTTGGAGTATGTTACTTTTGATTGTTAAAGAAGGCTCCCCCCCCCCCGAAAAAAGTGCTAGGGGCTGGAGAGATGGCTCAGTAGAATAAGCGCTTCCGTGGCAAGCACAAGGACCTGAATTCAATCCCTGGTTCCACCAAAAAAAAAAAAAAAGAGAGAGAAAGAGAGAGAGAAGACCCAACATGGAGTATATATATGCCATATAAATTTATTTCAAGGGGCTGGGGAGAAGGCTCAGTGGAATAAGTGCTTCCCTGGCAAGCACAAGGGCCTGAGTTCAATCCCCGATTCTGCCAAAAAAATAAATAAATAAATTTATTTCAAGGTGAAATTATGTAATTTGCATATTGTTTGACTGTGTGCAGTTAAGGTTTTGAAAGTTAGGTTCATCAGAAATGCTCACTGGAGGAAAACCAAGCAGATTCTATAGAAAGAATACCTTGACTTTTAAAAGTTCTTGGGGAAACTGACAAAATCTTCAGATATTTTGACAGAAATGACCTTCAACAAAATCATGTTGTGCCTGTCAAACAGAATTTGTCATTGTACTGGTGTGGAGATTTTCAGGAGACACATCCCTCTGCTTTAAATTAACAGCTGCTTTGCTTTACAGTTATATTTATAACTTTTAGTAGTTATACATTAGATTTAAAAGAATACCAACCCAAAAAGTGAAAATTTTACTTTAAATTTTCATTGCTGTTTACAATAAAATATTTGTCTTTATTTTAAGTAAATTCACATTAAATGACCTTTTCCTGGTATTACTTATACTTAGGAACTCAAGATTTTCTCTAAAAATATTTTCTGAATGGTATGTAATACGTGACAAATGTGAAATTATAGTGATAACTGTGAACAATAGCATTCTGTGAAACTGTCTTTTGGAACCATAGTTTAATAGTGTTGTTAGAGCTTTATCTCAGGAATTAGCTTTGGAAACTAGAAGAGACAAACATGTTACTTTTAGCAGCCTCAACACTTTAGAGTCACTTTCTGAAAATGTTTGCTATGGATTCGTTTAGTTTACATGGAAGTTTCTTTCTTTAGTTGTCCTGTAATTCAGGTTAAAAAAGAAACAGTAGAACATTCACTTAAGATCTGTTAATGAATATGTTAGCTAGTTATGTACTGCAATTAAAAAGAATATGCTTAAAATTAATAAATGAGGGCCAGCCAAATAGCTCAGCAGATTAAAGTGCCTGCAAGCAGGTGCAGGGGCCGGGGGTTCAATCCCTGGGCCTGCCATGCCGGCCCCACCCCTGGCGCTGAGATGGCAACTGAGGCTGGGTATGGGGGCGCATGCCTATAATTCCAGCTCTTGGGAGGCTGTAAACAGGCAGATCACTACTCAAGTCCGATCTATTAGTGAGACCCTGAACACTATGTGGGCCCGTCCCTAAAATACAAAAAAATAAAATAAAGTAAAATAAAATTCATAAATGATAAACTTCATTAACTTTAAAAGAAACTGTATGCTTTGGCTTTACTATCAGGCAAAACAGCTCAGAAGTTGCCACATACTAGTTCTGTTTGCATATATTTAATTAAAAAAATTTTTATTGATATCTTTTAGATAGATACAACATTCATTGTAGAGTTCTGTTTGTTTCTAAAGAGAAATCCCTTCTTTTTTTTTATACTTCTCTGTCCTTTCTCCTGCATCAATAGCTGTACCTGGAAGTTTAGTTAAAGTATCTACAGACTGGAGGAGACTTTAGAGATAATGTGGTTATTTGACCCTATTTAGATCACGTCCATCTTTAGCCAGTATATTTGATTATCTAACATCTGCTACAATTGTAACTCACTTGTGTTGAGAAAGTCATTTTAATTGTAAATTTATAGTTCTTAGTGTTTGACATTTTTCTGTTTCTATACATTTGGCATGATACAGATTGGTTCTAATTCTTCAACGTGGTCAAGCAACTCTTGGTTTTTCTGACAAAATAAATATTCTCCAAGTCTTCAAAGCATTAAAAGACCCAAAGTTTTTGTCCTTTCATTCCTACTTCATGATTATCTACATAGCCCTTTGGGATCAAAACCAGTTTTTTCCCTTGATGGTTTCTTACTTGTCAGGTATGCAGGCTGACAGAGGGGCCACCATTTCAAATGTGGCAGAAGAAAAGAGGGCTTTGGGACATCTCACACAGACAAGAAATGATACCTGGACATTTACTCAAAATGTTAGTCAAAAGCTCACATGATCCTAACTTAACCATAAGATTGGAGGAGGGTCAGCTGGGAAGTGACAGTACAGCTTTTCCCTGTGCCTGGCGTGGAGAACCAAATACTTGGTAAATTACAACAATGACTTATCACACAGTCTTTCCAGAATTCAGAGCTTTGTTAGTCTTCATATTCCTTTCTTGCCTAGGATAAAACTTACTGCCCTTTCTCCTTACTGTTGTATGAGTTCCAGTTCTCTAAGCCATCCAGATACACTGTAGGTCTTTGATGTTATTGTTGAAGGACACTGTCCAGGATGGAACAGTTTGTAATCCGGCCAGCACGGCTAGCAGAAAAATTCCCCACTTTGGCAACCTGAAGTCAGACAGCATTCAGCCTGCTGCATTTAAGTTAGTCCAACCATTAATGTTTTTATGAGTGTGGGTTGGAATTGTACATTCATGATTTCAGTTCAAACAGAAAAGCTCATGGAGTATAGAGGCTAAAGTCTTAAGACTTGGGTTCAAGTTCTGTGAACTTTCAGGAGCTGTGTCACAGGGGACAGGCATATTGCTTCTTTGTCTTTTGCCTGGTCCCTGGTGGCAAGAATGCAGCAATATTGATGAGAATATAAAAACTGTGTAGACTCCGTATTACTGAAAGACATGGTTTTGTTTCTTTCTGCCTCAGTTCACCAGAGTTTATTAGGATCTCAGCTAAATGTTTTAAATTACCACGTTCATATGTATGAAATAGTGGACATGTGCTGAAGTCCTTGTAAACATAAACCGTCATCGCATAGATTTTATACTGTTATTAAACAGTCAAATTGATGTGCTCCCTCTCATTTGCAGGTAGAGTTCTTTCACAGTCTACTCCTGGAACGCCATCAAAGACCATAACAATATCTGAAAGTGGTGTTATTGGATCAGCTTTAAACTCTACAACACAGACACCAAATAAAATTGCCATCTCACCTTTGAAATCTCCAAATAAGGTAAAAAAAAAAAAAAAATCAGTTACACATGTCAAATATTTGGTTGAAGGGGCCGGGGAGATAGGTCAGTTGAGGGCCTGAATTCAATCCCTGGCTCCACCAAAAAAAAAAAAAAAAAAAAATTGGTTGATGCTTTTTTTCTACTAGTCACTTCAGATAATTCAGTTTTCATGTGTTTCTCAGCAAGTAGTAGCCACTCAGTGAATACTAAATTAATTTAGTAATTAAGGATTTTGGACAGATTAAAAACCTACTTTAAAAATATAGTTACCTAGTAATCATTTTGCACATTATGATGGTTTCCTTGGCCCATGTGCATGTGGGTTCAGTAAAATTTCTTGAATGATATTTGGCAGAATTGTTGTCTTGGGTGAGGCACATATATAATAGTTATATAAATATAAAATATTAAAACAACTTTTTAAATGGAGATTTCAGTTTTTGTTGGCTAATAAGATCCAGAATACTGGAAATTGCGATTGGATACTGATGACTATATAATCAGTGTTTTTAGAAGCTTTTATTTAAAGCATTCAAAAGCTTTTTGTAATTTGTTTTCATCTTGTTTGTTGTTTATCATCTTAAGGTAGCAAAGTATTATTTTACTCTCAGGTTAAAGACATAGACTCTCACTTTCCTGAAACATACAGATGTCATTGTACCAGCATATGGAAAGATCTAAGGAGGATATAGATAGTTTTTTGTTTTTTTTTTTTTCCCCTCCAGTATTTAGGACAGGGTCTATAGGGTCTCACTATATAGATCAGATTCGTACTGATTCTCCTGTTTTCAGCCTCCCAAGTACTGGGATTGCAGGTGCACATCACCATGCCCAGTCTCAATTGCCATTGAACCCTGGCTGCTGCGCTCTGCCTAACCAGGTGCTTTAGTCTGCTGAGCTGTCAGGCCAGCCCTCTAAGGTATATTTTAAATCATATGATTCAATTGGAAAGCCAAGCATGATTATCCTGTAAGGTGCCAGCCTTGTGACCCTGGAAACACACTGCCCTTTGTACTTGTCTTCTCCCTTGATTTACAGCTGCTCATAAATAGAATAAACACACATTTGCCTTACCTATTTTAAAGGTCCAGCTGCTAGTTTCTGTTTTAATGAGACTTGAGCTAAGTGAACATGATGTTCTTACAGCTTATTCAAGTGTCTTACCTGCATGCTGACATAGACAGTTGTGGGTTTTTTGTTTTTTCCCTGAAATGGAACGAATTCAGTAGATACTGAGTACTTCGCCGTACATAATGGAAAGCATTGGAGAGAAAATGTGAATAAAACCTGGCTTCAGTATCAGTGGTTCAAGAAGGAGCTTAGGGCTGGGGAGATAGCTCAACTGTAGGTAACCGCAAGGTCTTGAGTTCAATCCCCAGTACAGGAAAAAACAAAAAAACCCTGATAGCTCAGCGGACTAAAGCATCTGCTTAGGCAGAGTGCAGCAGCCACAGTTTGATCCCCAGCATGCCATGCTGGCCCCTCTCATAGGGCGCACTGAAACGGCGATTGAGACTGACCATGGTGGCACGCACCTGTAAATCCCAGCACTTGAGAGACTCAAAACAGGAGAATCACTATGAGTCCGATCTATGTAGTGAGGCCCTGTATACCCTGTCCTAAAATCATTAAAAAAGAAAGAAAGAAAGAAAGAAAGAAAGAAAGAAAGAAAGAAAGAAAGCAAGCAAGCAAGCAAGCAAGAAAGAAAGGTCTTAAACTGAGATGTTAAACATTGCCTCATAGATAAATGGCAGCCACAAGTAGACTGGTACGCTCTGCAGTGTGTCAGGCAGAGACTGGCACTACAAAGATGTTCTGGAAAGGTCTTTTTTTTTTTTTTGACATCAGTTATTTTAAAGAAAAAAAAA